TACTAGAACAGCTGATTAGATATGATTTAATTTGTACTACTTTTGTACTCGTCTTGGTGCGTCTACGCGTAACAGTTTACGTAAATTTTTACCATACCGGGAGCATAGATGTTTACACATCAAAAAGTTTTATTTTCAGTGGCGGTCGTCTTAGGCAAACTAAGGCGAACCTCCGGGTGTATTTCTGCAATGAAACACCTTTTCATAAAAAACCATCTGGCGTTCGCATTGGTGTGATACCATCACAGTATAGACTACAAATTGGAAGAAGAGCTAGGCTAAATACTAATCAAGTCTCATACAGCCAACCGAAATAAAAATAAAACCTTCGGTAAATGTATGGGATCGACCATAGTTAGTTAGTTAGTTCTACTGAAACTTTGACCCACATATCGTCGGGTGCGAGGATGACCGCCCTGTCTCATCAGCAAATGGTTGAAGAACGCAATATTTCAGGATTTGTTTCAAAAATGCTCTATCTCACCCACCGCTTCAAAAACGTCCCCATCTGAAGATATTTTCAATAAACTGTTGGTTGAGATAGGGCATTTTTGAACCAAATTTTGAGATAGGGCGTTCTTCAACCATTTGTTGAAATAGGTCGGTCTTTCACTCAGCAGACGTTATGCTCTAATTCAAATTGTTTTAAAACAAATCTTTTTATAGTTCTGAGATGACAACTTCAAGCATTCTGAATATTTTTTTTTCTAATATTTTTCTTAAAATCAAAATAAACTGAAATTCCATCAAACGGTTTAATTTATGCACTATTGGCACCAACTAGAGAATACATAACGGAAAAAACCTTTTAATCTTAAATAAGTAGATTAGATTATATTAGGCCTGCTAGTCATTGCGTAGATTCGCAGAGACTATTGAGTTTCATAGCGTTTCCAGGAGCAATATTGAAGAATATCGCGGTGCTGTTGGCAAATTGGAACAGCTTTGTGTTGCCGTCTTTTGGTAGCTGTTGTTCTTGTATTTGGCTAGTCTATCGGTCGTTTTCGTTAAGCTCAACTAAGAGTAGGACCCAGAAACGTGCTGTCTCGATGGCATCGAACCAAAGTGAGATGGTTGTTAGCTGAGTGGGTTTGAAGGGGTAAGTGAAGAGGTGGTTGGTACCTTCACAAATCGGATATAGGTTGATTACGTCGAAGTCAAGTCTGATTGAGTAGCGGTAAGATCTGTTTCTGTTGCGTATCCCTGACGCAAGGTCTTTCAAGGTTGCTTAAGATTTTCGTCTGTGAAGGGTGGTCATTACAACACCGGTACAGTGGTTGGTAAGTCCGGCTCTCGTCCTTAAGTAGAGATACCATCTGACGCGGTAGATGACTCTTATACCAATAAGTGCCTATTTAAATGATCAAGACGTTTCTACGTTCCGGAATGACTCGAGTTTTATCCAACCGAGATCGGAGAATGCTACCAATCGCTTGTAGCTTCCTCCAAACTCCGATCTGCTTACAGCATCCTCATTCGTTGCGCTTCTCCTGTAAACTTTTTAATTGGTCGGCGAATTCTAATAATCTCTAATAAAAAAAGCAGTAACACGTTTTATTGGGCGGGGTTATAATTTGAAGATATGCAGGCTTAATTTCCTTACTGAGAAACTGAACATTATGACGGGCAATGTTGCCAGAAGTGAAGCTTTATCTTTAAAATGAACACTTATTTTCATGATACTACTATTTATTTTATACTGCACATTTGCGTTGCCTACCCACTGTTAACAATCATAATGAGTTCGTTAGTCGGTGCTATAAGTTGTTGTGACTGGTTTTGTTGGCGACATGAAATATTTGGAGCGGAAGTGGTTCGAGGGAAAAATACAAAGGTACACAGGTACAGCAGCAATGGAAATGGAGAGCAAGGCGAATTGAGCGAGAGCTGACAGCTTCACTGATGGCTGGATAGGATGGTCACATATGTACATACTAGAGATGAGCACGGGACTAAATATTTATTACCCGATCCCGACCATCCCGAAATTCAGTTTTTAAGTCCCGAACCCGCCCATCCCGACTTTTTCAGAATTGTGCCGCGGGTCCACATGTGTTTTAAATTAATTTTAAATATAAAAAAAATAATGAAAGACCTGTCATCTTCCGTTTGTTGTGTTTTGCATTGCTGTTAGTTTTCGTTTTAATAAAACATAAAAAAGTGCATATTTCATACATCGCTTTTGAGGAAGATTTTCTGAATTTGCGGAGGCTTTGCTTTTATCGGGAGTGTCGAGAACGGATTTTGGTCAAGTCCCGCCCGCAAAATTTTTAGAGACCTTCCCGATATCGTACATCCCGGCCAATTTGAAATCAGTACCGTGGGTCCCGCGCGCCCCCATATCTCGCGCCCATCTCTAGTACATACATATGTGCAGTTGATGTTGTGGCTACCTACATACATACATACATATATGTACTCGTGCCGTCATGTAAAAGTATGTACATATGTACATAAGTGAATGATTGTGTGCATAAAACACGTTTAAGCGGCTTACCGATTCTCTGACTTTTCTTGTCTACGCTCCACTGGCCAAAGCAAACTGTTCTCAACCTGGCTTGAGTAAGAATTTTATCTTATTTAGCTGGCTTGTCACGATATACATTTGTACATACAATATGTATGCTCAGATATGTATATGTTCATATATGTATATGTTTGTGTGTATGTATTTCTGAGCTTGGTTTGTATACACTTCTCCATTGCTTTTGATTTGATATTTTCCCAATTGTTTGCGGCAATGGCTCATTGTTTTTGTTTCTTTTCTTACTTTTCTTCCAATTCAATTTCAAAAATTCAAACAATGCACAGCTCGCTCTCTCACTGTGTTCCAAATTCCAAATGTAGCCGGCTACCGCGCTTGCTCGTGCTCCCCTTCTTGCACAAATATTTGCACATTTGTAGTATGCATGAATGTACATGTATGTGTGTGTGTGTTGCGGTGTTGCCAGATTTCTTTTCAAAAAACTGAATTCACATGAAAAAACTGCATTTTCAATAAAAAAAATGTATTTCAAACAAAAAAAAAACTGTATCTTTAAAAAACGAAAGGATTTTAGAAAAATTAGGAAAGGTGTTCGCATAAAAAAGTGTGGTCATGTATTTGGTTTCGGCGGTATATAACTGACGAGGCCAGCCCATTTTTATCTTTTTTTGCGTTCTCTGTCTTATTTTTATATCCTTAATTGTAGTGACTGTATAATGGGGTTTTGGGGCATTATAATTATTATGTGCTTTTATTTTGGTGGTGAAGGGATATACCTCTCACACAGAAAAGACTCGCCCTCTCTTTAGCTTAAAAATGTTCTTAAAAAAAATCGGAAAGTGATAACTTAATTTATTCCTTTGTGCTGGGAAATAATTTAAAAAACTAGTCACTGTTAAAGCAAGAGGGAAATGCCAACACAGCGGGCCCCTTGTAAAAGAATAGACCTAACCAATTTCGTAGATCTAGTCAAACTTAAAAAAGTATGAAAAGTGTGAGACAAGCCACGGGACAGATTAGACCACTGCGCTGCCGCTGTGTTCGGTCTTTTGAAGCATTTGTGGTCCGTTTGAGGCGCTCGTCGGCTGTTAGTGTCCAGGGTCTCGAACGGAAAAAATCATCGGCATACTTCTATAAACTCACTGCCATGCCAGAACTTTGTCAATATAGCTAAAATAATGAAAAAAGTTGTCGCCACGTAAAATATCGTCAATGTGTTCTTATTTCTAGTTGCGACTAATGCTAATATTCAGTAAGTCAATCTCATCTCAAGTCACTAAACTCAGGACTTTTTGTGGCTTGAGGCGATTGGGTATTCAGTAAGAGGAAGTCATAAAAAGTTCACCAAAAAATGTGTAGTGAAAACAAACAGATACAGTCAGCTGATAGCTACGGTGACCATCCATCCTGTATTATATTTTCAGGTTTATTCAATGAATTTTTCCCTACTTGACCTTCAAATGACCTCGAACCTGACGCGATAGAGGCTAACAGACCTCGGATTCGCGTTCAGCGTACCGAATAACAAAGGGATGTAGAGGTTTGGTTCAATATGCTGAAACTTTGTTTTTTGTTATACTTCCTTACTTGTTTTCCTTTTTAATTTACCTCTCTCTTTGAGAATAAAAAGAAATATTTTTTTTCAAAATTGTTGTTGTTTAGGATTAAAAACCAGAATGTGTGTGTGAGTTTGTGTTTAAAATTTTAAAACTAAATTACTTGCAAACGTCAAAAATGCTAAAAGTGTCTCTCAGCGGTTCTAGCTTACTATATTTTTATCTCGGATTTTATAACTTTAATAATACATAGTTTCTTTCTAAATCTCATTTAATATTTATATGTTTTAAAGTTGTAGGTTTTTTTTTTTTAATGAAATTGTTGTGAAAAAATATATCATCGCTTAATTTTCTCGTTTTTTTGTTTGGTTAAAATATAAAGCAATTATCGTATTCTCCATATTTTTTCTTTTTGTGACCTGCTCAGAGCCTGTTGACAAATCATTGACATTTTTTTAAAACTAGAGGCGTGAGACAACTTATTGAATACCAAATCGGCTCAGAACCGATTTTCACCACTTACTTACTTAGACTGCTTGCTAAAATCTACCAAAATTCCTTCAAAGCAACCAAACAGTAAACATCTTACCAATTTTGGTAGAAAAAAGCAAGAACGGCACCATCGACTCCAAGCGTTTCTAAAAAAACTGAAATATGGCAACGCTGCACTTAAGTGAATTTTCGAAACGCTGAGTGGGAGCGCCGCCTGGCGACTTTTGGGAGGCATACAAATACAAACGTACTTATGTACGAATGTGAGAGCGCACTTGCGCAGTGCTCCACTAAATTGCTCCCAGCAACAACAAAAAATAGGAAAATACCACTCACACACACACATACACATTCCCACATTTGCTTTGCTATATACAAATTGTTTTTATTTGCCTTAACAGCGTGTCGAAAAGCGTCGTAGCTGGCTTGTTTGCTGGTTAAAGTACCTTAAAGTTGTTGGTGGGGAATTGGCTACACATACGAACGTGTGTATTCGTACTTCCAAATTTAATTCGCCGTTGATTCTGACTTCGTGTGCTGGTGCTATTGCTGCCGCCCGCCTTGATGTGCTTGCTGGCGTCCAGCTCTTCTCAGTTCAATTGTGACCGCTATTTCGACAAGTTGCAAGTGCGTGTAAAGTTCGCTTCCGTTTGGAATAGTTTATTTATTGTGTTTGCGTTGAAACGCCAAATTGAGATTGCAGTAACAAAGTTCTTAAAAGTTATATATATAAGGTAAGATATCGAGAGAGAAAACAAAACAAAACAAAAAGTTATAGTAGTGCGTTGGAAAGGAATGCAAATCGAATTGTCACATTTCTTAAAGTAACAGAAGGCTCATGCTCAAAGTAAGTGAAGTGGTGAGGTGAAGGATATATTGAAGTGGCAATGGGAAAATTTGTGAGACAACTGTGTTGTTGCAAAAAAAAAAACGCAATACCTAATCATGTGAAAACAAGTTTAAACTGGTGGTGCAAAATTAATATTTATTACAAAATACAAATTCCACTTACGAGAAAAAATTAGCATCCGCTATTTTATAGCTCTCGTCTATTTAAGTTAAATTAATGCTTTTAAGCTTCGCAGACGACATTTTGTAAAAAGTTGTCGACCGGTGCTGCGTATGTATTGTGTGTTGTTTGCTGCGTGTGCGTGTTTGCCAGTGAAATTGCGTATGAACTACGTCACATTTGCCTTTTTTTGTTCGCAAACATCCCTTTGCTGTCTGTGTGTTATTTGCACATATGTATGTACATACTTAGTACATATGTACCAACCATTTTCGTTCAAGTTGGGAATTCGTTAATTTCTTTCATAGCAAAAAAAATTCGTTTATAGTTTTTATTTATGTAGTTGTTAATGTGAAAAAACACTTCTCAATGAGTTTTTATCACGTGTTATTCATTTGGTTGGTTTGTATTTGAATATTTTTGTTGTAATCGATTCCACCTGCTTTTGCCGAATGTGCGTAAGTACTTTCTGCCCTCTTAACGACCTTTCGGACACGCTGACCGTAGTCATGGCACTTCATCATCGCTTGATGTCTGATAAAACTTGATTAGGGATGGTGAAATCGGATATTGAATTCGTGTATATTTTATAGTTGTCAAGTTATCGCAGTTAGTTTGAGTTGAATTAACTAAATTCATTGCTTATCAAAACGAGTGTGAGATTATGAAAACAGAAAAGGCGGTTTAATCTATATATAAATAAGTGAATTTAATACGAAATTTAAATCAAGGGATTAATAAAAATCTGAAACTTATTAAAAATTCTATAATTCTATAAATCAATTATTCCTGTAACTGTATGCTTACTAAAAGGAAGTTATTAAAAAAATAAAAAGCACATTACTATATAACTGCTAATAAAAATTGAAGCAGCTATCGAAAATAACAACTAACGATTTGTATAATGTAATTTACATTAATGAAAAAAATATAAAAAACTATTAAAATTATTGGTTTAGCTACTAAAACGTAAATTTAAAGACCGCCGTTATGAGTGGTAAAATTTGAACTGTTGGAACGATGAAGAGCTCCTTTTTTAATCGACTTAAAGAAAGCAGGAGGTTATCAATTTATTGGAATATTTTTGTTATGTATGTTACCGCATAACTTTGGACCATAATTATTTTTTTTTTAAAGAAAAGATAGTGGTCTCACACTAATTTCGTTTGGATTCCATTATTGGATCATAAAGAAATTAACGGTACTCGTAAATTTTTGTTTTTTTCTTTTTGTTAAAAAATTACTTGTTTCTAAAATATTCTTGATGCGGGAGCCCTATAGTTTTTAAAATATTTAATATTACAGTTTTTTCTGAAGATTTTTTTAAATTTAGTAATATTTCTGCGTAGAACACCATTCTAAGTAGAGCTTTTTCCTGCGGGCGTTCTTCAAGCAAATAAAAACCTTTTATCAGTTCGGCTCCGGCTACACTGGCCTCAGTATTTCTGCGTGGAACATCCATCTTTCTAAGCAGAACTTGTTTCTGCGTGGGCGACCGCGCTTCAAAAAAATCCCCTCATCAGTCTAACCCGGCTACACTAATTTAGTTCCCCTACGAAAACACCTTCTGTGAATACATATTCTTATTGGGGGCATAAAACCCCATCCTCTCCATATTAGTTAAACTTACGGAGAAAAGTAAAAGCAAACTTTATTTTTTTAAATTGATGTTATTCCATTACGATAATTTGTGAAATAATTAAACAAAATAGTATGTATGTAAATAAATAAAATAAGTAAAAGTGAGTTTCTAAAGAAAACAATTAAAAATTAAAATGAACTTATATAATTTATATTGATATGAAGTGTTCTTGTTGTGTTGAATCGACCAATGAATAGTGTGTTTACTAAACAAGTAAAAACTTAAATACTCAATATCTTAAAAACTAGAAGACTCTTGCATCTAAAAGTGGCTACAGTTTAAAAGTGCAAAAAAGCCTCTAAAATAGAGCAAGAAGTGACGCAAAAACGTAGAAATCAAATAAGGAGGAAAACAAAGAAACTAATTGGCAGTGTTAAATATACAAATTGGCCAAGGTATTTCAAAAATATAACATTAAAACAGCATTTAAAATGAGGAACAACGTTGAAGGGATATTAGAAAATAGCACAAACGAAGAACACCCACTACACAGGCAAGGTGTGTATGAGCTGACTTGCGAATGTCAATAGGATAAACAGGGCGCAAGATAAAAACAAGATATAGTAAAATTATAAGGCCAAAACTATTTACCACACCGAAAGCGAACTTCGCAAACCATTTGGCAGAAAGCAAATGTACACCAATTAAAATAGGAATGATAGCCAAAAGTCTCCAAGAACAGCACAAATATATACCAATGAAAATAGGAAGTCTCCATGTACACATAAAGGACAACGCCTTAGCATTGATTTTTACCTATATGTGGATCTAGACCACAATAATCAGGTAGTGAGGATGCACACCACAAAACAAACTACCGTTTAGAATAAAAGAAGAACCCCCTAATCTATAACTATAAATATTGACGTAAAAACAAAAACTATTCTGAACAAAAAATTACACTGGAAACGGAACAAATAATGATCGTACAACTCCGAAATCTTACGGTCTTAAAATCAAACTCTACAAGAGATGATGAAATCTGAAATCAGTTACCTAACCTACAGAAAGAATCTAATAAAAAAACTATTTATTTTAGTATTATTTTATGAGCCACGAGTGTGAACGCTGGTATAGGGTGCGCTGAAACTGAGTACATACATACTTAATCGAAGATTAATAAATTAAATCGATCTTAATCCGGTTCGGTTTGATTCCAGAATCAGTCCAAATAAAAATAATTTTAAAATATGCATAATTTTCCCAGGTTCATACCGAAATAATAGTCAAGATTGGGTAGTGAAATAAAAATGCTTTTTTAGTATAAAATGTTTAGCAAAAATAAAAACCGAAAGCGTTTCAAATTTGTAGAGAATAGCTGCAGGTATTTTTTCGAAATCTGTTGATTTGTATGTCTCTTTTTTTATAATTTTTACTAAATTTTGTTAGGTAAAAAAGCATATTTTCTTTATCATGATATTTGAGGCTTGACTTTGGTGCAAAGTACAACTTGCCATGCAAAATATTTTATCACGAAAGAAATACAGCACTTATTCGCCATTTTTATTTCCTTCAATCAGAAAAATATTATCTTAAGAAAATAACCACAAAGCCCTCGCAAAGAAAACAATATGAACCTACATACGAGTATAAGTACATATACGGCACACACACATCTGTATGTGTACATATATATATATATATATATGTAAATATGAAACCACGACTCTTAAAGCAACTCGATCGTTCCTCATACAAGCAAGCTCAAGATCACAGTGGAGGCTTAAAGCTAAAAAAATAACATTGACTACAAAGATAAAAAACCATAGACTTCGGGCTACAGTGAAAAAAAGCAGCAGTCGAGCATAACAGAGCAAAAGACGACCACAACATAAGCGGCAAAAAAAAATCGAATAGAAAAATAAAAATGAAAGGAAACTAAAGTCCAATGCAAGAACCTATTTCAAAGCAGACTGTAAAAAATAGTAAAAACAAATCAAACGCTGTAGTAGAAACAAGTAAACATAAAGTCAGAACCTGATATCCATCAAGTGAAAACCAAAGCAAGGCACTTTGTAAAATGTTACATTCATATATTAGTATGTATGTATGTACATAGCTAAGTAAGTTCCTCGGCGACAACAAGAACCTTTCCTAAGCAGAAGAGGTTAGCGAATGTGAAGGGGATACGAGTAATCGAAAACGCTGGCACATAACATACCATACATATTATTCATACCTACATACATATATGTACACACATACTATACATACATATACGCATAAACCCGACTTTAATGCAAACAAACAACTAATTTCGAAACGAATGTTGTTGAGGAAAAAGAGGGAGAAAAAAGGAACAAAGAAGCAGATAAAAAGAAATGTAATAGCGAGACGGAAAAGTTCTGAGTCAATAAACAATGTGGTATGCGGAGCAGCGATAAGGCGACAAAGCGGTTGGGGCATCGAAGAAATGATTAAATGACCAGCGTAATTAATAAAGCTAAACAAAAAATTTTGTTTTTTTGGAAAAAAAGAACACAAGAAGCGAACATTTACGGATAGGTTCGTGTTGATAATTTGGAATTCTGGAAATTTGCAAGCATAGTTTCAGGAATAAATGTAAATAGAAAATTTCCGATAACTTAACATAAGACATGGAAGAAATAATAATGCGCCACTTTGAAATGAAGTCAAACAAAAGATGGAGAGTTTAAGTTGAACTGAAAGACGATGAAGCGAGAAAGAGATGAAATCACATGGAATAAAATTAAATAAGCTAGTGTGTTAGATATAATGCGATTACACTAAAAATGAAGTGAAAGATATTAAAAACTGAAATTAATTAAAAAAGTTAAAAAAAATATTTTAATGAAAAATACACTTGAAAAATTGCACAATTTTTGTTCAATTAACCAAGGAATGAATTAAGTGGGAAAAACTTAAGGTATATATAACTCTTTCCGATAGCACATATTTTTAATAAATTATGCGGAAAGCAATTAACCGAGCGTCAATTAAGCGGGGAATACTGTAAATAATGTGAAATATTGTAAAGAGTTATGAAGAGTAAATGAAGTTGAAGGGAATGATATAGAATGACACGGAAATCGTACTTATGAAATGAAATTACACGAAGATTTGAAAATAAAGTTACAAATTGGGGAAGAATATTTTATGAAATGAAATGGGAGGAGAAAGGGAAGGAAATCAGCTGAAAAATATGAAGTGAAGCGGAGTTGAAGTAAAACAAATT